TCAATCAAAGGAGAAAATAATTCAAATGAAAAACTAGAAATAAACCAAAATGACCAGGAACACAAATCATATCTCATTAATAACTCTGAACATTAATGGCCCAAACTCATCAATCTAAAAACATAAGATTGGCAGATCAGATTAAAAAACAAGACCCAAGAGACTCACCTCATAGGCAAAAACATCCATAGATGGAAAGTAAAAGGATAGGAAAAAAAAATCACTCACATGGATCACATAAACAAGCAGGAGTTTCTATCCGCATACCAGATAAAGTGGACTTCAAGCCAAAGTTAATCAGAAGGGACAAAGAAGGACATTTCATACTGCTTACAGGAATTATGCATCAACAAGACATAACAATCATAAATATTTATGCCCCTAAACAATGGAGCATCTATGTAGATCAAACAAACCCTTCTCAACTTCAAGAATCAAAGAGACCACAACACAATAATACTGGGTTTGAATATTTTTATCCACATATATGAATACAAATGTGAATATATGTGAAAATATTTAAATGGACATAGATTTATATATAGTTATTTTTCTTTTGAGATAGTTGTTTACAATTTTGGTAAAATACAGGATATGATTATGTATCTGAATATATGAAAATTCTTGGGTAGGATTTTGGTACATGTGTGTGTGTGTGTGTATATATATATATATGTATATAAAAATGTATATATAAACATATACAGAATATATGTGAAAATATGTACGGATATTCAAAGTAATATTTATAATTTTTGTTTAAAAGTCTCACGATTGTTTAAAAGGTATGGTTAGGTTTAGTTTTGAGTTAAGACTTTGGTTTAGGGGACAGGTTACTTTTGGAACATATCAAAATTTACATTTTTATATATATATATATATATATATATATATATATATATATATACTTTTATCTGTAGATATTTTTAAGGTAAGCAATATTGATATATTACATGTGAAATCTGGGTTATGACTATGGAAATGAGTGTATATAAAGTATCTATGTGTTTTTATGTGAATTTATATCCCCAAATACATAGGTACATTCATGTAAAATGTTATGGTCTGTATGTACAGAGGTTTCTCTGAGGTATATTGGTAGGTATAGAACTAATGTTAGGGTTAGTTTAGGAATTGAACTTTTTTATCCATATATAGGAATACAAATATACATGTAAAAATAGACATGAAAAAATTTAAATCAATATAAATTTGGTTATAGTTGTTTTTCTTTTGAGATGGATGTTTACAATTTCTTTTAGTTTATGATTATGTAACTGAATATATATGAAAATGCATGAGCAGGAAAATTTGGTTGCTGTTAGGATATATTTATATACATATGAATGTATATAAACATAGGGATATATATGTGAAAATATATATGGATATTCAAATTAAAAATAAAATACAAAAATAAAGACATGTATTTATATCTATTTATTGCAAGCAATACAGCATTTATGTAGTATTAGTAACCATACTAATAGTTACTATTTTATCTAGATAGTTACTACACACTAGGCATTGTTCTGTGTGATATATATATAAATCTTCTTTAATCCTCACAATAACCCTATGAGGTAGACATTATGTTACTCTTGGTTTTTTTTATTTTTATTTTTTCCAGTACTGGGAATTAAACCCAGGAGCATTCTACCAGAGCTGCATTTTTATTTTTATTTTAAGGCAGGGTATCACTAAATTGCCCACGCTGGCTTCGAACTTGTGATCCTTCTGCCTCAGCCTCCTGAGTAGCTGGGATTATAGGCGTGCACCATCAAGCCTGGCTGTCTTACACCTTAAAGACGAAACAACTGAGGTGCAGAGATCATGGAATTAGTAAGAGGTAGAGTTCAAATTTTATTCCAGGACCTCTATTTTCTTTAAAGTACCTATTTTTTGCTTTAATATAAATTCATGTAAAAAAAATCAATGTAAAATAAATATCAAATAGTAGGACAGATGTACTATCATAAAAGTTGTGAAAGTGGCACATCATTGACTGTCACTTGGGAGACTGCACCCTGACTGGATAGTTACATTGAGAAATTATGAGAGCAAGAGAACTACATGGTAGCGAACTATACACAGTCTACACATGCACTGAAAATACTGCTCAAAAGAAAATGAGGATCATAGTTCTTCCTGTCTAGGAGCAGGCCAAATGTCATCCTTTCAGTTCTGAGCTTTTATCCATGGGACCGATGACAACAACAAAGCACAAATATAGTATTAACCGTTAACTTTCAAAAATGTATGTTTACTAGTGGGGGTTAGATTCTTTAAAATTGTCCTAAAAGATTCACTGGGTTCTTTAAATTTGACCAAACTCTTGGTGAACAGTATTACTGTAGTTAAATATATTAGAAATCTGTGAAACTATTTTCCTCAATTGCCTTCTGAACATTGGAAAAATTCCTCAGGAATTTTAATTTCTCTTCCTTATTTCATTGGGAGCCCATGAGAAATACAAGAATCTTTCTTATTGCTGAAATACATCTTGTTTAATGTCTTTCATATCCGTCCCTGGTGTCTTATCCGAAAAAATGGCAGTGAAAATGCTCCTACGCAGAGGAAGGAATAGAAGAGGGAAATCAAAAGAAAGAGAAGAAAAAAGAAATGCACTGGGGAAGGAAGATGGCGCAAACACCTTCTGAAATAAGACACAGTGGTCGCGAGGGACTCCCTACTGGGACATATGTTGTGATACCAGGTGTGAGTGCACAGGCACCAGGCAGCCGGAGGCCCCTGTCGCCTCTACCCTCTTCCCTGCTGGTGCTCCCGGAGGTTCTCTCTTCCAGGTAGCAACTCCTTGAGGAACATTTCTCCCAAGACCTAGAGAAAGGCCAGATACCATTCCAGACCCTTGCACCTCCTGCCTCAGCTGTCAATCTTCTTAGTACTTTCTCATGATTGGATCACGAATCTGTCCATCATATGCACAGTTGTTTTAGGGAGGGGGGAGGACCCAAGATTTTCACGGATCTACTTCTTTATTAAAGGAAGAGAACAGGCTCCATCAGAGCCAGGTACTAATGAGGTCAGGTTGACCGTAACAACTCAACCTTCACGGGCTCCTCTGTCCCTTCATGGGCTCGCCTGAAACTCTTCCTCCGGTCTCAGGTGTGTTTGACAGGACCAGCATCCTCATCTCTCTGTGGTACCTCCTTTCAGCTAGGAGATGCTGGGATTTTAGAAGATTGGGAGAAGGGTTACAGAATCTCAAGTACAGGAGCAGGTTGATTTTTTAAGAAAATACAACAACATCTCTTATGGAAAATTTTAAACATATAGGCCAGGCGCGGTAGTACACGCCCCTAATCCTAGAGACTCTGAAGGCTGAGGCAGGAGGATCACAACTTCAAAGTCAGACCCAGTAACTTAGTGAAGCGCTAAGCAACTGGTGGTGGGGGGGGGGGCTGTGCTCAGTGGTTAAGCACCCTTGGTTTCAATTCCTAATACCAAATTTTAAAAAGAATTTAAAAAAAAAATACAAAAGATCATTATCGTCAAAGAAAACACACACACACAAAAGTAGAGTATAATGAAACCCCACCTACCCATCATTTTAACAATCTACTCAAGGCCAACTTGTTTATCATCTATGTTTCCAATTACTCCACCATTCCCAATTATTTTGAAGAGAATCCTTAAATATTTCAGAGTATATCTCAAAAAAACCAATTCTTTTAAAAAACATATTTGATGCAGGAGTTTTAAGAACTAGGTTTTTGCATGCAAAATACTGCACGCACATATGGGCTTTCCCAGGAAAAAGTCCAGAGCTTTTCATCAAAATTTTTTTTAACTTCTTCTTCTTCTTCCTTTTTTTAATCATGCTTGTGGGGCTATGGCTGTAGCTCAGTGGTGGAGTCATTACCTAGCACATGTGAGGCGCTGGGTTTGATCCTCAGCATACATAAAAATAAATAAAATAAAGGTATTGTGTCCTTCTACAACTAAAAAAATATTTTTAAAAAATCATGCTAGTAGCATCTCCCTGTCTTACTCTCCCCAAAGAAAGAGTGATAATCAAAAGCAAATAATAGGGCTGGGGTTGTGGCTCAGTGGTAAAGCGCTCGCCTACTGTGTGTGAGGCCCTGGGTTTGATCCTCAGCACCACATATAAATAAAATAAAGGTATTGTGTCCACCTACAACTTTATATATATATATATATATATATATATATATATATAAAGCAAATAACAGGGCTGGGGTTGTGGCTTAGTGGTAGAGCATTTGCATAGCATGTATGAGGTACTGGGTTCAATCCTCAGCACCATAAATAAACAAATAAATAAATAAATAAATGTCCGTGGACACCTGGAAAAAAAAAACTATCTTAAACTCAAACAAAAAAGCAAATAACAGCTGCAGCAAAGCAAACCAAGAGCGAGCATCATGTTTAGGAGATCATCGGATTTCTAAACTAAAGTTTAAAAAATTATAGTAAAACATCGAGAAAAGAGTCATGGAGGATCAATAATTCTTAAGAAAACATCTCATCTTTTTCACCATTACCACATTATACTCTATGGGGAATATTTTTCAGAAACTTGTTTCTTAGATTTTAACTGTTTAGAGAGTTGTACATTTCAAAACTTAAAACTTACGAATTTTTGAGGATTCAATATAATCTGCCAAAGTAATAAAAATTAAAGAGCAGCAAGCCACTACTTAAAGGCATATATACAAGGGTCAATATATGATCACTATGAGATCTTTCCAAATGGGGCACCAGCCTGACCAGTAAAGCAAATCCATCAGAGGAGTAGAGGAGTGTCAACTGGAACAACATGTTCACCAAAAACATTAATAGCTCAGAAACACTAGTTATGGGTATGGGATTGCTTACAATATTCTAATATTGCAAAATACAAAGAAAAGCATTATTTCCAGAAATGTGATACTAAAATAAAAAAAAAATTTAGAAGCCATATGCATTGAAGATTAAATTAAGATAACTTGGTTATTCAAGAAAGCAGACATAAAATATACATTCATTTTTTTATTTTTCAAAAAAAATCTGAGTTGAACAGTCAAGCTGCATGTACATAAATCAAACCAGGCACGGCAACTTTAAAAAAAACAAAACAAACCCAAAACCCCAGAACCTTGCAAATTGTTAACAGACTCTACTAGACTATCAACTAGAGGGCTGAACTAGACAAACAAGAAAATCTCTTTCAACACTTGACATCTGATGACAAAAAATAGACGTGACACCGCTTTTCCCATTTGTGTGCTCCCACATGCATGTGTGCCCAGGTGTGGACACTTAGGAGGAAGAAAAAGTTGGAAATGCTGCACTAAAATCATTCAAATTACTGAACTGATGTCAATCTGAATGATGTTTCCAGTAATAAGAAATTATGGACATCCTTCTCTGTTAGAAAATACATATCCAGAACAATAAAAACATTATGAACAGTTTGTTATTTGAAAAATACAACCACATAGAAAATATTAAATTTTAAATACAAGCATTGCATTTCTTATCTAAGTGGTTAAATTGAACAGACATTTGTCAGTCACAGCTAAGCAAGAGGACTCTGGGAAGGTGACACTTGGAATCTATTCAGAAGAGATTCCCTCCATCTCTGAGAAGAGGTTTTGTTGTGTTTCAGAATGAAAAACTAAGCAAATGCAAAGCAACCTATGAACTACTCATTGCTAAATTTAAAGCAAATATGCTGGTGTCACTGAAAATTTAGTCAAGAGTTTAAACTGGCAAGACAACTTGGAGCACAGACTAACCATACTTTCAAGTCCTTTCAGTGCAAATGAATGAAACAAAATAAAACAAAACCCAACTTTAATGCTACTTGACATTACAGACTCCAGAAGTACGGGGGATTAAAACCAGGGCCTTCTGCATGAAGCACTATACCATGAGCTATATCCCCAGCCCTTAATATTTGAATTTCGTAAAATTTCAAGTACAGCTAAGAAAAGCACCTCACTGCCCTAGTTAGCTACCTACATTTAAAATTGAACTTTTCTTGTATTTGCATTCTGAAAAAAAGCTTCCGTCTTCCTAATTGCTTTTATTTATTTATTTATTTATTTATTTAGGTGGTGCTGGGGATTGAACCCAGGGCATTTTGCATGCAAGACAAGCACTCTACCAACTGAGCTACATCCCCAGCCCCTCCAGATTGCTGTTTAAAGGACATATATCCTGCATTTGTTTAATTCTGTACTTGTTGTTAGTTCTCTGTTAGCTTTCCCTTGCTATGACAAAATATCTGAGAAAACCAGCTTAGAGGAGGAAATATCTATTTTTGCTCACAGTCTCAGTTCATGGTCTGCTGGCTCCATTGCTTGTAACCCTGTGGCCAGCGCAGAATCATAATGGTGGAACCAGGGCCTGGAGGAGTAAGGCTGCTCACCTCCTGGCAGCCAGGAAGCAGACAGAGCTTCACGGTCACACCCACAGGGAACCTACTTCTAACAGGGCCTACCTCCTGAAATTTCCGCCATATCCCAGTAGTGCCAACTGGAGACCAAGCCTTCAACCCATAAGCCTTTAGGGGATATTCCAGATCCAAACTCAACAAGTTCTGAGTTTGAGGCAAGTGTAACAGCACATGGGATGGAGTCAACCATCTCACATCTAGACTCTCAGACCCCAGGACAGAGGTAGGGACTTCTGGACTCGACTCACTTGGAAGCAGCAGACACAATATTATTTCACAGTAAGAGCGTTCCCCACCCCCTTTCTTTTTTTTAAAATTGGTCACAGGGAAAATTGAGAACAAAAGGCATATCTGAATTTTCTATTTATAATGTAATTATGCATAATTTCAGTCATAAAAATGAAGAAATAATGCTGTACTATTAACTATTTTTAGGTACATCTTGTATTAATCTAATTCATTCATGTGAGGATTGGGGCACTTTTAGATATGTTGCTTCCAGCAGTATTTTCCATTTAAAGGCACACTTGCCCTTCTTCTAGGGGGTAGTGACCTGATGTTTAACTCCGGAGTCCCTTGAGATTATGATACTAAGAGAATATTGTTTTTTGGTTTTTTTTCCCAAACCAGGCTTTGTAGGTTGCAGTATCATTCATTATCTTTATATGAATAGTACATGATGCAATTTTTTTCCCCTCAAAATTGTTTCCTGGCATTCGGTGCTACTGAGAAGTCTGATTCCAGATGCCCTGGTTTTCTTATAAGCAACCTGTTGCTCTTTCTCTTTGATGCCAGAAGAATTTTTCACTTTCTGTGGGAGTTTAACATTTTTGCCAAGAAGACCTTAATTACTGATCTCTTTTTCACGTTTTTGGGGGTGGAGGGAGGCTGAAAGTGCAGTGAGTCTTTTCCATCTTTTGGGGAGGTACTAGAGACTGAACTCAGGGGCACTCAGCCACTGAGCCACATCCCCAGCACTGTTTTGTATTTTATCTAGAGACAGGGCCTCACTGAGTTGCTTAGCACCTCACTTTTGCTGAGGCTGGGTTTGAACTCACATCCTACTGCCTCAGCCTCCCAAGCTGCTGGGATTACAGGTGCACGCCACTGCTCCATTTTAGTTCTTTTACCTTTTTCTCATAACTCGTTCTCATGTAAAAACTTACTATTGTTGCATAGAAGCAAATCTTGTTTTCAGTTAGGACAAAGAGAATCCTAACATTTTCTTGCTCCCTCATTTCAGCATTCAATTTTCAAGAATGTTCTGGAAGCTGCTCATTTTCTTTGGTTCTGTCACTTTTTTTTTTTTTTTTTTTTGTCCTGGGCATTGATCCCAAGAGTGCTTTTCCACTGAGCCACATTCCCAGTCCTGTGTATTTTTAAATTTTGACACAGGGTCTTGTTAAATTGCTGAGGCTGGCCTCAAACTATAGTCCTCGTGCCTCAGTGTCCTGAGTCACTCGAATTATGGGCATGTGCCAGTGCACTTGGCTGTCTTACTTTTTTATATGCCTCATTTCACCTTTTTAAACTCACTGCTAATCTTTATATGTGGTTCTTTCTTCACAGACTCTGCCCACTTGTCAACTCCCTTTTTCAGTCAAATCCCAGGTTGATGGTAAGGTAAGGTGAGTCCATATTTCTAGGTCCAATTTCCCATTTACCACTTTCCCAATGAAATAGCCTTCTTGTCCTTTCTATTGTCTGGGTTTTTTTGTTTTGTTGTTGTTGTTTTTTAATCTCCAAGCCAATGTTATATATGAAAAATCAAAATACTTGCATGCTGTGCTACCCAGGCTTTTACTGTTTAGGCCTTCACCTGATGGGCTTTATTCTCAGAATATACTGTGTCTTCTAGTCCCTCTCTGCTTTCTGCTCATGTTTTAGCCCTAGGATTTGGAGTCCAGGGCTGAATGAAGAGGAGATGTGTTGGGAAAAGGAAGAGGGTAGGATCTATGGGATCTAGAACCTCCTCTTCATGGTGTAGCACTGGGTATGAGGTTCAGAGACTGAATAAGGAGATAGATATGGTGGGGAAAGAGGTCAAACACTATATAGCTTTCAGATTTTCAACTTCGCTATGACCTGGAAGGTTTTACCACAGTCCCCCTCTGTATGCCTCATAAATTGTACCAGCTACTTCTAGATGGTCAAGTTGAGATTTGTTCTTCATATGTGTCTTCATGTCTTCTGACATGGTGAGAGCAGCTCACTGATGTCATTATGCCAGATGCAATTCTACTAATTAATTTTTTAAAATCCCAGTCTTCTCAGCTATGATATAAAAGAAAGAGTTCTGGACCAGTTTTCTAGTCCTGAACCTACTACTTAAGGTCTGGCTTGACTTGGATGGGCTCTTTCTATCTCTGGGCTTTAATTTCCTTATGGGTAAAATGAGGGAATTTGGCTAGATGACCTTAAAGTCACCTGTAACATGTTGTCTTTTAAGTCTCAAAATAAAAAATAAATATGACTTGATAAATAATAGAAAATAAATGACTAAATAAGTATATTTTGCTCTAAGAGTGCTTTAGTCTAAACACTATATAAATCCTGACACAAAAATTAAAAAGCAAAAGTAAAACACCTGAGCAAGTAATTGTGATACAGATTAGGAATTTCTTTACATTTTAAGCAGTGGTTCCCATGTCAAAAACAGGTGCAGTTTATAAACTGTTAATAAAGCAAATGGCCTAAACATCTACCCTTTAAGGTGATAACAGTAAATATAAATTATATAATGGGTAAGGACAGAAGGTTCTTGGTAGGCACAAGTGTTATATTCATTCATTGAAAACCATTAGGCTTTTCGGGAATTATTAAATGGTACGAAGTGACGAATGAATTAGTAAGATAGGATAGATAAACTGTTAACACAGTAAGGCTTGAGGAGGGGGATATTTCCCAAACAAATGAAAACTTTTTTAAAAAAGTTAAATGGACCTCTATGGGCCTAAAGTAGGCAGCTTTTTCTTATAGACTGAGTTTTGGATTTGGAGTCAGAAGATCTGCCTTTAAATTTAAGTTCTTCAACTTGCTAGCTCTGTATTGCTGTGGGAAGTTTAACTTTTCTGAGTCCTTGTTTCTTAATAAGCAAAATGGAATAATTAAATGCACTTTGCAGAACTATTATGAAAATATGAGGCAGCTGTGAGAAAACCCTTAGCACAGTGATAGATCTGAAACTTCTAGAAGCTTTTTTTCAGAATTACTGATTTTAATACCCATTAGTGTATAATAATGAAGTTAAATAAATGCCATGTCTCAATTTAAAACAGTGACAAAAACATAGAAAAAAATTATATTGCCTATATTTTTAAAAATCTAGATTTTCTGGCATTGTCTAGACAAGAGCCAAATAACAATTTCATTTTTTTGTGCAGATATTTCTGTGAAATAGCAATGTTGCTTAGTTCACTAAATAGCCATGTTTTAACTGATTGATGCAGTTTCTGGATTCTTCTAGAAGCTTTTTTTAAAAAAATATTAATTTTTTTTTAGGTGTAGATGGACACAACACAATGCCTTTATTTTTATGTGGTACTGAGGATCGAACCCGGTCCCGCCCGTGCTAGGCAAGCGCTGTACCGCTGAGCCACAATCCCAGCCCTAGAAGCTTTAAATAAATCAGTAGACGTAACAATAAGCACAGTTAAGTGCAAATTAATCAACCAGTTATACTGACTATAAAATATTTAGAAGCTTGTTCTCCTCTCAATGGGGGAGGGGTTATCAAATCACTATTAATAATAATGAACTACTATGCACCCACAGATTATCCAACAAGTTTTTGGTCACATTTCCTGAAATGGTTAGTTTCCATATTTGCTGCATTAGATCATTAATAAAATGCTTTAATTTAACAATCTGATTCTGATCAACAATGAAACATGGGGAATGTCTTTGCATTCTTGGACTATAAACAAAACTAGAAGTACATGATCATAATACAAGGCAAAGCTTGCTCCAAGGATGGGAGCCTTCCTCAAAGGGGAGTTTTGGGAAATCTGGTGACATCAGATATAGAATCTTCCAGGTATGTTAGTTTAATCATCATTCCTCGTGGCTTGCTCTCAGAAAGAGAGTGGAGTGTAGGTCACCAATCCACCTGCCTCATCTTTTAATTGATTCATTTTCATGGGAAAATACAACAAAGATCTTTACCTACAAACACTGACTAAATAACTGAATATTTTAGCACACAGCATTAAAAATTCACCCCAAAGTAAAAACTATTTATACAACTTTGAAACTTTGAATACATTCTATTTGGAGCTTTTAACTTCTAAATGTGTATGGGCTGCAACTTGAAGGGCATTTAGAGAAAAGGAAGTAACTCTTTTTCAAAATCTTCACTGTTTACATTCATTGATACCTTAAGTTAACTGCTTACTAGCTCAAAATTATTTAGCAATCCATATCTCATGAAAGCAACAAAGTGTTGCATATTTGATAAGGATAAATTTTTAAATGCTGTTCATTAAGTAATAACAATGTGGCTAGTATTAACCTAAACTGAGAAAATTAATCAACATTCTGCTTCTTAGAGGGTAACACTGTTCACTGTGGAGATGATTCATTCCACTGATCGCACTTCAGAGCTAAGGACAGTGACACCAGAATTTGCCTAAATGAAGCAGTCAAGCAGCTCCCAGTAATCTTTCAACTTCATCAAGAAGCTTCAGTTTCTACATAAATAATACTTCATTTAGATTATGTTAATCTCTGTGTCTATGAACATGCTTGATGCTTTCAATAAGAACTGAATTAAAATAAAAATGAGAATAACAGAGTTTCACATTTCTTCAAACACCATTTATCAGTTAGGGCAGACTAATGAATACAATCCAAGGAAAGCTGGACAATGCCACATGACCAAGGAGACCATTTTTTTTTTTTTTCACAGCTTTGGTTAGATTACTTCCATAATATTCCTTTTTTTTTTTTTTTTTTTTGCAAATACACAAAACAATGGAAAAACTTTTCATAAAGCCTCTTAAGGCATCTCTGTTCTTCCTTGTTTTTGCTTATATGTGAGGTATCAGGGCTTGGTTGTGTGGAGGTAGAATTCATGGGCATAAATGCATTAACTTGACCAGATTACTGGGTTTGATTTCCTCTTCCAAGTTTAGCAGTTTAAGAAAGAAAGAATCTCCATAATGAAAGAAGTAAGTGGCCTAATGCAGATGAGCTGGAAAATATTAATTATTGTAAAAAGTTGTAACTAAAAAAGTGACACTGCATGCTTATGATGTCTGTGTTGAATTCTTCATGTTTAATCAGATCTTACCCATCAAGTGACACCCTATCATCTCTACCAATCTATGCTCCTAGCAGGAAGGCCTACTGCATTCTGGGAATGTGGTACCCAGAGCTCCTTTTGGAGCAGACACAGAAGGTGCCACAGGTGTAGGCTCTCCCTAAGTCTCCACAGGTCCTCTCCTACCATACCTCCATTCCCCACGCAGGGACAGAGGCAATTTGTATCTAGGCACACTTGCAAGTTCTTGACATTTATTCCAGCTGGAGGGTACAAAAACCCCAAAGTGGAGAAAATGTCTTAACCTCCCACTCCTCTTGGAATCTTTCTTTCTGCCTAGGTCAAGAGCAGAAAATCAAGGTATTCAGGGGGAATGGTAGAGAGCCAACTGGAAAGACAGTACAACTGCCTCAGCTGAACAGCTAGAATAAGCTCTCCTAGCCCCCGAAGGTCCCCTGAGGACAGGCATGGACATACGCATGGATAGGTGCTTTGCCAAGTTAGCAGGCTTGCCAGGCTTTACCACATGCAAATCTGAAGCGTGTATACACACACACACACACAAATACACAACAGGGAAAGTACCTCGAACAGTGGGTGGCACCTGGTAGCAACAGGTGGATGTGCTTTCTTCCTCACACCCACTCCCCAGGGAGATAGGTGATGCTGAGACAGGCCTTTCAATCCATCAGCTGTCACTGAAGATTTGCCCTCCTGACTTTTTATTATAATCCTTCACTTCAGAACTCTGGGGATTTTTAATACATCAAATAAGTGATAGACAGCATATCTGAGGAAGAGATGGTTATTGAGCTGACAGACAGCTACAAACAGGACAATTACAACTGCTGGCTCAGTTATTGCTACTTTTGGAAATGTTAAAATCTGAAAAGATCCCAGTGATTCCTAATGGCAATTTCTTCTTGAATCTATTTGAAATAAAAATGGAGGCTTTATTTAATTGGGCTGCAGGCTCTGCCGAAATTTCACATAGGTTAAACTTCAGTTTAAATGCAAAACTGACAAGAAAATGACCATTTGCTTTCCACCAACAAAATATCCTTTGGGTGTTTAGCAAATGAAAGGAAACCATTCCTAATGTTTTGTGTCTATTTCTTCTTAATTAAAACTCTAAAATCACTATAAGAAACCACGACAGAACACTATGTAATATCAAGTTTTAACAGTGATTATTAACTATTACCTGTTATTTATATACAGATGAAGATACACCAAAACTAATCTCAGGAAAGATAAACTAGTAAACAAATTATAAATGTGCACTAATTACAAAGGGAACAACTTTAGACCTTAAGGCAGCATTGGTTGAGTCTTCTCTGGTAAAGTATCACATATTTTAATGACCAATGAATGATTTTAAAAACAATTAAAATAAATACTAAGATAATGCTTTAAAAAGAAATAGGATTTTAAGACTCCTACAAAATGAATTTGTGTTGGAATTTTAATTTGGAATTAGAAAGCATACACAGGAACATAAAGGTATAAAGTTAGAGCAGTCTTTACTTGAATACAAATAAAGATACCTAGAACTTAATATTATTATTAATTAGCACTCTTTGGGTTCCTTTTTCAATTCTAGTTGCATTCAGAATAATTGTTAGAAATTTCTGATATTTAAATAATATGTAGTCAGGCTGAATTGGACCTGAGTGAAATGGTTTCAAACTGCATTAATAACCTATCATTATGCTCTGATTTTACCACTACATCTTTTCTGTTGGGTTTGCTTACCTTGTAGGTTTCTTAAATTATAGTGTCGCGAGCATTGGTGCCAACCTAAAATGATGACATTGTGGCTGAAAAAGTCATACTTGGATAAAAAATATCTCAAACCTCTTAGTAAACACATTTGGGGATCTGTTTCCTTTGCAGCTTGTTTTGTTGAATTTTCCTAGGTGGGCCTGAATGTTACTGTTAGTTGTTTACAAATCCAGTGCTATATGCTGACAGAACAACTGTATGATAAGAAGAAGGGGTTAAAAAACACTAAATATGTTCACACAAAAAAACACTCTCATGTAGTGCTGAGAACTAAGACATAGGCACTTCTGCGTCAGGAGGTTTTCACATTTTGATCACAGGTGGCTTTTCTAAGTCATTTTCTTTCACTACTAGAAATTCCCTCAAGGTATGAACCATCTAGTTCACTGAAAACCTTGTTCTTACAAACACCCTTTTGGTGCATTAATCTTCTTTTCATAAAATTGTCTACCTTGACAGCAGAGATCGATCCTTTCACCGCATAGAGCAGCCCCCGCCTCCCTGGCAGGCACTCTAGAGTTTTCTCTAGCAAGGCTGCCTGCTTTACACAACCAAGTTATCCACCAACAAAATATAAAGGAGTGTCAGGAGCAATTTTTCTCTAATGTGTCTGTCTCTCTCTTTCTAATTCCTTACTGTGAGTGTAATTCAACAAAGTGTATAGTCTTCCTAACAATCTAAAGCTACTGGGCTACTGGGATTTTTTTTTAATAACTATTTAATCAGTATCCTTTTTTTTCTTTTTCTCTTTTTTTCCAGAAAACCTGTGCTAAAAAGGCACTAGATAATATGAATTTCCTCATTCTCATATATAGCAATTATACACTGTGTTTTACAATTTAACAAAGGTAACACACATTTGGATAACACATCCAAATTATTCATATTTTTATCTACTTTCATTCAAAAGAAAACTCCAAGTCAGAGGACTAGCAGGCCACACTGATGGAGACCAGTCTAAGCCTGGAGTTACACAGGGTCAGCAGCTGCCTCCTTAGAGCTCTGGGTTGCTGCTGACTCTGGCTTGGCCACCTGGGGGAGCTCTCACCTACAAGGGGGCGTAGGGCAGTGGCCGGGACCCAGGCTCACTGGCAGCAGCTGTGGGAGCCAAGTTTCCTGGAGACCTGAGTAAATGAGACGAAGGTGAAGTTCTCACAGTTTTCCAGCTTGACTTTCTTGGCTAAGTTTGGGACAATTCCTCGAAGAGAACGCAGTCCCATCCTCTGCTCCTCATACCACACATTGCCCATGTCTGTGGCTTCCTTCCTGGCAGTAAGGTAGAAGGGGGACTTGGCCTCCATTTGGGTGGGCGGCCGGTGGATGTACATGTACTTGTAGAGGAGGCAGTAAGGGCACTGCTTGTGTCCTCTGGAATGTTCATGGTAGATCTTCCCATGACACACTCTAGTGGATCCACTCCGACTCTCCCGCTTGACACTGTCTGTCCGGGCAAAGTAGGGCTGGTTTTGTGGGTCTTTGAGCAGCTCTATGTCACCGTACATCAGATCTGCATGCTCCTGCAGCGTCCGCATGTTCAGGTACTGGCTGTTGTACTTGACCACAGTGGACAGGAGAGTGATGGGGCTGTCGTCCCCCAGACACCCTGCCTGCCACATCTCCTCCTCATCAGAAAGGGAGAAGTAGACAATATTTCGAGAGCGGGCACCCGACATCCCCGCCTTACTCAGCACCCACAGCTTCTCCTTGAGCTTCTTGGTAGAAGAGCTGAAGGTGCTGCTGGTGATGGAAAAGCCCACACCTGCATTCTTCAGGATGCGGTCCAGGCCCCGGCGAATGGCATGGAGTGAGGTAGCCAGGAAGTCTGAGCCATCACTCTTCTTGACAGTGACGTAAAAGTTCTCCAGCAGCTCATTCAACTTCACTGCAGGGATCTCAAATGAGACAAACACTGAGGTTACTCACGGAGGACACCCAAACAGCCGGACCCTTCCTCCCTTCTAATCCTCAGTGGGAGCTCTACTATGCCCAGGACACACTGTGGCCACTAGAGGGCTGACCCTAAGCATGACATGGTAGAAAGAACAGTGAATTTCAAGTTAGAAGATCGGAGTTCCATATCTGGCTCCCTAATCTCTTTGAACCTCAGTGTTTCCATCTGCAGAATAGGGCAAAACAACGGAGACCACCACAAAGGACTGCAGTAATGCTTAAAGTAACGGACCATGAAAAGGTTTGTAAATAGTAATAAACATACACATACACACCTATGTCTGCAAGTACATACATACATATAAACCATTGTTATTATCGGCCTTTAGGAACTTTTTCTATTCCTAAAAGGTATTTTTAGCTCTTTGCTGCAAATCATTTTCTTCCTTCCCCTTTACTAAAACTTAGTCATTTTTTCTGAGGGATTCCTGAACTAAAGCTCCAAATCACTCCAGCATTAACTTCCCTGATATCTACGCACATACTTGGTTATGCTGTGTGCGCAGAAATGCAGTGCTGTCGGGAAGACAACTGACATGGCCATTTTGGGTCACAAGTTAATGCTCCTTGATTTTCCACTCCTTGATTTATCTGAATAGGAACTGAAATATCTCTTGCTTAATACTCCACAGGGTCTCAATATCAATAGTGTTAAAAGATAGGAAAATCATAATGGCTATAGTGATAGAGTGGGCTTCTTATTTTAGTACTGTGGGGAGAGAAGAAAGCTTGGCTAGCAAGAAAGCTTTATTTTCAAGAGGGAACTATATAAAGAAAAAAAGAAACCTTGTTTATCATCAGGTCAGACTGAAACATACATTCCTTGGGACAAAAAAACTCCAAACAAGGGCCAGGGTTGTGGCTCAGTGGTAGAGCGCTTGCCTAACGTGGGCGAGGCACTGGGTTCGATCCTCAGTACCACATAAAAAAAACAAAACAAAACAAAACAAAAAATAAATAAATAAATGTTAAATTCTTTAGGGGAAAAAAAAAAGTCTAAACAGAAAATTTTTAATGAGTAAAATTGTACAGAGTTAACATTTTTCTAATAGCCCTTGTGTCTGGGTCAAAGAGAAAATAAAAGGTGAATTATGCATTAAAAATGAACCCAACTAGGGCTGAGGTTGTGGCTCACTGGCAGAGCGCTTGCCTAGCACATGTGGGGCACCAGGTTCAATTCTCAGCACCATGTATCAATAAATAAAATAAAGGTTCATTGACAACTAAAAAAAGAATCTTTAAAAAAAAAGGCTTTAGTTTTAAAAAAATGAACTCAACTAAAGATATTACATGTCAAAATGTATGATATTATTAAATATACTCCAGTAACATCATGATTTTGAATGACTTTCTTAGAAAACCTTATTCTCAATGAGCAAATTCATTATTTAGTTCCAAGAACTAGAAAAAGTAAACCAAATTAAAAAATAGTAGAGTAAGCCAACATAAATAAAAATAACTTAATTAAGTAGGAAAGATAAAATTAGGATAGGTTAAAAAAAAGAAAAAAAAATATGTCATCTTTGAAAAAAATATTTTTATAAAGTTGCCAAACTTCTAGCAGAAAAACCAAAGGCCGAACGCTCTCTCTGATATGCGGATACTAATACATAATAAGCAGGGGAGGGAAGAATAGAAGCTCGTTGGATTAGACAAAGGAGAATAAAGGGAAGGGAGGGGAATGGAAATAGGAAAGACAGTAGAATGAACAGGATATAACTTTCCTATATTCATATATGAATACACGATCAGTAAAATGCCACATCATGTACAACCACAAGAATGGGAAGTCATACTCTGAGAATGTATGATATGTCAAATTCATTCTACTACCATGTTTATCTAAAAAGAACAACAACAACAACAACAAAAAAAAACAACTTCTAGCATAGACAGGGGAAAAGAAGCAGAAAGGAAGTATACATTTAAGCAATATTAGGAAAGAGACTATGGAATGAATAAAGTAAAGAATATGAAAGAATATCACATATTTCTTAATTTGAAAAATCTACATAATCCAAACAATTTTCTAGCAAAATATGGATTACAAAATTCATACGATTCAATCAGAGGTAAAAGATCTGAATAACTCCAAAAAAGAGAAGGGACTGAAATGATTTTGAAAAATGTATGCTACTCCGAAAGAGATGACTTTATGGAGTCTTTTCTTTTGTCTTTATTTAATATTTTATTGTTATTTTTGTGGTGCTGGTGATTGAACCCAGAGTCTTGCATGTGCTTACTTCCTACTCTACAACTGAGCTTACTCCCAAGTCCTTTGAATTTAAAAAGTTTTGGGGCACATGAAAAAGATATGTTCTTCATTTTGTTTCTAACTCAAATTTGATCTATAGTATATACAAAAAACAAAAACAAACAAAGCATATGAATATAAATGTAAAATTTCCTAAGTAAAATACTGCAACTCTCATTTTGCATATTAACATGTCAAATATAATGTGCGTACACTGGTACCATACAAAGTGAGGAATGGCTGATATGCACAAGTTCCAGGTAATATGGCATCTTATAACAAGGACTGACAGTATTATCAAGTCACAGTCAAGACCATAGCATGGATGGGCTGGGATTGTGGTTCAGTGGTGGAGTGCTTGCCTAGCATGTATGAGGCACTGGGTTCGATTCTCAGCACTGCACATAAATAAATGAATAAAATAAAGGTCCATCAACAACTAAAAAAAAAGAAAGAAAGAAAGAAATACATATGAATGACTACAGCATGGAAATACTCATCAAAACAGAAGGGAATGATTAAAGTGTAAGGATGATTTAATGTTAAAATATTTTAATAGAATCGACATTCATACATTATGAAGAAAGGTAATATGAACTTGATATTGAAAATTTATTTGAACAAATGTGATATCCATTTCATATTTAAAAAAATAAATTGAGATTGGAAGGGAAAAAACCCTCTTATTATAATGAAGAGTAATTTACAGACAAGAACTATAAAAATCATACCCACAATGAAAACATTAAAATCTTTCTCAGAAAGTTACAGGCAGGATGAGCTAGGTGCAATAGTGCATGACTGTAATGCCAGCAATTCAGGAAAGTGAGGCAGGAAAATTGCAAGTTCAAAGGCTGGACACTTAGCTCATTGGTTAAGTGTCCCAATTTAAAAAAAAAGAAAAAATAATAGAGGTAGGATAAGCATACTGAATATTGAATATTATTGTTCTTATACAACACATTCCTGGAAGTTCCAGGCAACCAGGTAAGACAAGAAAAATAAATATCTATGTCTACCTACCTACCTAACCCTGCCTTCTCTCTTATACACACACACACACACACACACACACACACACACATGTAGTATACAGGAAGGGAAAATGACAAAATATAATTATTTTCTGATAATCTGTTAGTCTAGGAAACTCAGATTCAGTTCAACAGCTATTGGAAAGAGTAGGGCAACTGTATACAAAATAAGAGAATAGTTTTCTTATATACTATCAATAATCAGTTAAAAATACTTTCCTAATGACCATTATACTCAAGTTCAGTTACTTTCAGATGTTTATATTGTCATTCAGAACTCCCTATCATAAAGATGATATAATGATATAACCTCTCTTTATATTAATTGGGACTCTTTTGGTGCAAGAGAAATATCAAACTTGAACAAGCCTAGCCAAAGAGGGATATCAGTATTAAAGTAGACTCCAAGTTTATCAGGACTCTCTCTCATCACTGCTTCTCTTAAAGACTGGCCTTCTTCATATAGCTATAAAGATAGCCCATTAACACTCCTCAGGTTTTAGAAAGAGACCAGCAGGTTTAGAAAGAGACCAGCTCTTATTTTCAGTATGGAAAAAAAAAATCTGAAAGGATTCTACTCAACCCACTCTTAACCCAACAACTCATGAGAAGGTGTTCCACTATACTTAATGTGATGGCTTCTGCTGTAACCATGTGGACTGCAGGAGAGTATCGTTCCTAAATAAGTGGTGCTACGCAGAAAGATCTTAAGTTTTTCTTCACTGCTTCAAACAAAAATAAAAAAAAAAAAAGATGACTTGTGTTTGTGGATTAAAAGATTTAATACTATTAAAATGGCAATAATCCAATACATTACCTACAGATTTAACATAATCCCTATCAAAATCCCAGCTGCTTTTGTTGCATAAATAGAAGCTGATTCTAAAATTCATATGAAAATAAAAGTGACCAAGATTAGTCAAAACAATCTTAAAAAAGAACAAAGATGGAGAACTCACCCCTCCCAAGTTCAAAACTTAATACTCAAAGCTATAAAAATCAAGACTCTGGGCTGCTGACATCACATATAGAGTTAAGAATCCAGACATAAGCTCTCCCATCTATGGTCAATTGATTTCAACAAGGGGAGAAGGCAAAATAACTCAATGGAGAAATAATAATCATTTCAATAAATGGTGCTGGGATATTGGGATATCCCATGCAGAAAATTTAAGTTGGATCCCTACCTCATATCATATATACAAATGTATACTACTGAGTATCCTCACACCTACTGAGTATTCTCCTCCATGCATCCTGAGGGATTTTTCAGTCTGGCTGGTGAACCATACTGCTTCCAATTCTGTGTGCCAGGTACTGTTACTGATCCTTTCAGATAGTTCTTTGCGAGTATCAAGTGGTCTCCTCACATGCACATGCTGATGGTATTCAGCTAAATATTTGATGAGATCATCTTTAAATATCTTGGGTTTTCTCTCTGTTAACCCCTCTACTTTTGAGTTCTGTCATGACAACTCTAGCCACCTTGGTCTCCCTGGACTCTCGGCTCCATTTTTTCAACTCAGTGAGTCTGTTGGGCTCCGTTTGAATTTCCCTCCATGCACCACAGACTTGTTAATCTTTGAAGTCAGAAAACTGGGGCACTCATAGGAATAACCTTGTTTGTTTCCTGTCTCTCTGAGATCACTGTCAGAAGATTCTGTGCTTGCTATACAAAATGCTATAAAGTTCCTTGAAAAACATCATGTTTTATTTTTATATTTTTGTTAGTTTTTTTGTGTTAAAAGCAAGAAGGTAAATCTGGCCCTCACAATTGGCTAGAAGTAAAAGACTTAGTTGACTTTTCTCCTGGGAATAGATCAGATGTTCCTATGTTTATGTCAAATCTGAATGGATACTAGAAATTATGAAATTTACGCAGTTTATATTTTATCAGTTTTTTCCAGTGAGTTGACATTTCTTGCTAGTGTACTCATGTCCTCAGCTTTCTCAAACTCTAATTTAGTCTCAGAGATAATGGCTCTTCTTTCAATTGTTTCCTCTGTTTTAAGGATCACATCCTGTGCTATCTATACTGTTTGAAAAGAATTATTTCATGTATTGTATCTAGTTTTCTAGTTGTTAAAACAGGAGGTTAATTTTGGATGCTTTTTTCTCATGGCCAGAGTATAAATTTCAAGTTATTTTCAAATTTGCTGGATCATTTTGATTGGTATGTTGTTGAATATTTTATGCTTTCTGTTATTTGCATAAAAATTTCATACATAGTTAAACTATAATTTACTCACTGAAGTCTCTGGTATCTCAATCTGTTTGCTGTTTTTACTCATCATCATTCATCATTTATTTCCTGAATGACTGGTGAATTTTAAAAACATGCACATATTTAAACCTGTAAAAACCCCAATTAATCTGTAAAAAGACCCAATACCTATAGGTTTTGTATGCATCCCTTGAGAGATTATTAGCCTTTAACTCTGCTAGGATCCAGGGTATGCTACTGACATGGACCCTCTTTAGAACCCTTTCAGGGTCCTCGCCTTAATCAAGGATTCTTCAGTTCATCTACCACTCTTCCTTCCTTAACAATGTTATCAACATGCACACTCAGGAAGAACCCTCTTTCATGTGTGCTTACTGTTCCTCTTTCACCTTTTTCTCTCTTCTCTTCTCCTGGCCTGAGGTATAAGAGAAAGGTAGCTCACACTACCAAGTGCTCAATGCTGTCAGATAAAGAAAACTGGGTTTCCTATTTCAATTCTTGATAATTCCCCTGGTACATTACTCAAACTGAGATCTTGCCTGCCCTTGGGCTTCAATTATGACTCTATTTGCAAGACCTTTAAATCTATACTTGGAGCTTGAGCATCTCCAACAGGTTTTGAACCTCACAGTTCCAGCTGTTTACTGGACACATCTATCTGGACATCTGATTCAGAATCAGTATGTCTAAATCAAAACACGGTAGTTTTTGCTCCGTCACCACATGTCCAAGATTTTATCCTGCCATTCACAAACCTGAAATATTTCAGAGAAAAGATTTTAAGAATTTCACAAAGAGGTTAAATAACTTTTTATATATCATTTTCCAATTAATTTCTCTCTCAAATACCATTTCATTATGTTCTTTCCTCAAATGACTTTAATGTTTTCCTTTTGGTCTCATTCTTAAGATGCTTGCAGCCCTGATGGTTAGACCCTACAACAGTTCTTTCAAATACAATCTGTCCTTACCAAAAATAAAATCAAGAAAGAAACTTCAGTGATTTTCCAGTGTTTAGGCCTTCAGCATGGCACTTAAGGGCTATCACAATCGTTTATAGTCTACTATACCCATATATGAAGTCTTTGCTGTAGGCAGGTGATCCGTCTCAATTTTTCTCTTCCTCACACCATTCAACCTACAAAACTCCCATCCTTGTTTAATCCTATTGAAATCCACCTCTCCCTCAAAATGTGGCTTAAATACCAATTCTCTCTATATACTCTCACCAAGCTGAAATTAATTTATCTGTATTTATTTTCAGGCATTTCTTCTCTGTAAATTCATAAAACATGTACTAAATCCTGCTCTGTATTGTGTATATTTTTCTTTGTAGTTTATGTTCTTTCCAAGTTTCCCCATTAGAAAGCAACTGTTCTCTGTTTGCCACAATGCTTAGTACAGTGGCCGACACTTGGAAGCTCAGTGAAGTTGGCTGGAAGAAAGTAAACTCAAGAGTCCCTTACCTTGGTGATATCCGTATGATCTTTGAGCCCGTTGGTCATGCACCAATATCGCCACACATTCAGGGCGTACCGCGTGGCTTTGGTAGTGTTTGGGCTTACTGCACTGGTACACAGATCATTCAAGTCATCATTAATATTAAATACAGGAAATTTGTTGAGCTTAGTAGAATAAGCTAGAAACAAAAACAATAAAAGCATTAAAATAATTTGCCATCCCCTTCTTTAGAGAATTACATCTTGGGATCATATTAAATAACAGAGAACTCCTAAATTATGACATTTTAAAAAGTGAAATTTCAATCAGTGTACACATATTAGAATAAATAAAGCAGGGGACAATGGAATCAAAGCCGTTGCCTTGCATTTAATCCCAACCACTAAGTGCTAACTGACCACTGCTGCAGACATTCCAGAAACTGGAGGAAACAATGAAGGCTCTAAAACAAAGAGTGCACACGCTCATTTTCCACCAGAAACAAAACAGCTTGTCTATTCACAACAGCAAGAAAAAGAGGGTGAAAGGAAGGAAGGAAAGAGAGAAGGAAGGAAGCAAGCAAGCAAGGAAGGAGGACAGGCAGGTGGAAAGGCAGAACCAAGATCACATATCCTCAGCACAGGGAGAGCACTTCTTTGTGATACACAGTCTCATAACTTGTGTGCTATTGTGGGCAACCTTGAATTAGGTGGGGTTAACATATTTCTTTAATACTTTTTAGAAATAAGAGGAGAGATTTAAGCATTAATTCCACAACCCTTCAACAAGCTTCTAATCAGAACGAAAGGTCTTCTTACTAAGGAGAGAAGCCTTAGGGGAAAGGAGGAGGAATACCACAAAGGGGCTTGCCTTTGCTCAGAGGAGAGAAAACATATTTGAAACTGCCAAAAACTAAACTAAGTCTATAACTATTAGCTGGTCTTTTTTTATACTCTGTGATCTGATAAAATCTGGATTAACTTGTGCAAATTCTCATTTTTGGATAGAAGAAAAGGCCAAGGGAGACACCTCAAAGTATAAATATTGCTAACCTGTACCTTATCTAATGGGTCTGACCCACTCTGGAATGTTAGAATACTCATTCAAGGAACTAATTGGCTAGGTCTTTGAGAAAGAGCAAAATGAAGTTCATGCCATTTCCAAGGTGGCCTGCAAAGGGATTTCGCTTCCCCTAACCTACCTCACCTTTCACAGCCTGCAGACAGCTCCTCTCTACTGCACCACCAGGCTCCTGCTGACCCAGGACACCAGCATGTCTACATGACCTTTCCACGCACTAAGCCAGCTCCTGCATTGTCCTCCTCAAGACGTGCCTCACATTTGCTTTATTCCTTAGGAGTGTGCTTCAGTTGTGTCAGGATGGTGGACAATTGTCGCACTAGTTTGTATGGTCTGTAAGACTGTGCCCGCACCCTTGAAGTCCTAATCCAGCCCAAAACTGTGGAACAATCTACAAGTGCTTCTATGAAGAGGGGAATAAATGAGCAAATCTGTTGGTGCATGCTATAATCCCAGCTATGTGGGAGGCTGAGGCAGGAGGGTCACCAAGTTCAAGGCCAGTCTGGGCAATATGGTGACACCCTGTCTCAAAATAAAATATAAAAGGGGCTGGGGATGCAGCTCAGTGGTAGAGCACCCCCTGAGTTCAATCTTGAAAAACAAAACAAAATACTATCTGAAGCACCTGGACTGCACAGGTAATTCTTCTCACAGACCCCTGAACCCAGCAAACTCCTACTTATTTATAGAACTTGCTTGATATTAATAAAAGGATTATGTACACAATTCACTTTTATTATACCTAGCACTAACTGAATGCCTACAATATGCCAAGAGGTTTTACATAAATTATCTGTAATTCATAGGTAAGCACGTTTTTATGTCTATTTTACAGATAAGGAAACCAAGCCCTGTACATTTAAGTAATTTTACATGTTCGCTTGTCCAGTATTTACCAAGGTACCTCTCTGTGCCAACCACTGGGCTGCTAGAGTCCAGGAGTGAGTTAGTGGTGGGGTCAGGATGTGGACTTGGGTCTGCCTCTATGTTCTGGCCACTACAGCAAAGGAAATCAGGTCCTACTGGGATAAAATTCTTTTTTTTAAATTGATCTGTTAATTAATTTATTTATTTATATGCGGTGCTGAGGATCGAACCCAAGGCCTCACACATGCCAGGGAAGTGCTCGACCACTGAGCCACAACTCCAGCTCCAGGATAAAATTCTTGAAAAAAATACAATTCTCTAGTATGAAGAATTTGCTTATAAAAAATATCTTGATCCCTTACATCTACTTGGACTAGCTCTCACCAAGGACAAGTGATTTATTTATTTATTTATTTATCTATTTACAACTTGGGGCTGAACCCAGGGCTTTTGGCATGCTAGCCAAGTGCCCTACCTCTGGGCTATGTTTGCCAGCTCTTTTTTTTTTAATTATTATTATTATTATTTGAGATGGTATCTTATGCCCAGGATGGCCTTTTAAACTTGTGATCCTCATGCTTTAGCCTGGGGAATAGCTGGGATTTTAAGTATCTGTCACTGGGCCTGGTTCTAAGTAATTTATTTTGACAGTTTTCAAGCAGATAGGATGATTAATTATAACCTTAAACAATTAAATTTTTTCATTTTTACCACAAGACAGAGACTGTTCACTGAAAATGGAAACTAAAATTCTATTCCATCATGAAACAGATAAGGAATACTTGTGATGCTTAAAGAGAAAGAAATTATATGAAAATGACTGAATATAGTCACTGAATACAGTCCTTCATGATAGTATTTAAAAGTTAAATTATTTTAACAAACTGCTTTTCAAATATCAGAGACAGAAATGGTAGTGTAATGTGGCTGAGGAAATTTTTAGGAGACTATATGGATTGGAGAAAAAGGCAAAATGAATTTAGGAAAAAAGGGGGACCTGGGTCTGCCTCTATGTTCTGGCCACTACAGCAAAGGAATCTCCACTAAATAGAGATTTTGAGCGTTCTTTTCCCACTAGAGGACGGGACAAACTCTCAGGGCCAAGTTAGGAAGAACTGGGCATGGAAGCGGGAGTGAACAGTGGGCCATGGTAGTCTAAAGACTGCCAAATAGGAACAATTATCCTGCTCTCTATACATCACTTACCAGAGCACAGGTGTAGGCAAGCAAGGTCATGTAAAGTGATGGGAGTCTGCCATGGAAAGCTACCCTCAGGGTCAGAGAAGAAAGGGGGAATTGCCTTAGGTAATTCTGGGAAGTCCCAGTGGACATAGGGGAAAAAGAAAATTGACTAAGAAAAGCAAAGAAATCCCTGAATGCACACCATCTTTCAGATGACACCTTCCCTGCATCTAAAATTGACAGAGTTCCCAGTTTCCCAGCTGGTTTCCAGTATGTACACCTTAAGGGAAGTCTACTCGTGGGCACTTCTTCAGCCATGTTACAGCTGGGTGAGGTCCACTTGCCGAGCACTGTGCTCAATTACTACCTGCAGAAATGAGCTTTGCCCAAGTGGCCACCTTAGCAATGTTTAAGGAAATTCCTATCAGCTACCAATGACAATCAATCCAGACTTGAATTTTAAAATGTGAGTGCACATACATCACCTGGCAATTGGAGGAAATCAACAGTATGGAAGTCATCAATCTATATAAGCAGAACAATTAATCTCACGTTCCCTACTTAACCTGCTAAAAAGAGTTAATTCAGAAGATCAAAGAAAATTTCAAAACATAACAAATATGTCATCAGATTTGTAAGTTATAATCCATCCTTAAAATGAGAACAGCCAGGCTGGTGCTGTGGCTCAGTGGCAGAGTACTTGCCTAGCACTGGGTTCAATTCTCAGCACCACATAAAAATAAATGAATAAAGTAAAGGTCCAACAACAACTAAAAACATATAAAAACAAGCAAAAAAACAAAACAAAACAAAACAAAAAAACCCAACCAAACATCAAACCAAACAAACACAGCCATTGCTGTAAAAGGAGAAACAGGAAAACAAGAAAGACACTAGAAATCTAAAATACACTTACATAATATTGTCTATGAATATATAAACACAGTACATATAATAATAATATCTCTTTTTTGGGTCAAAAACCAAAATCCACAGGATTAGAAAATATTTCAAACTATCAGTAATGACAATACAGCATGTTAAAACTGGTGGCATTAAATGCATGGATTTAAGAATGTGGAATATGAATCACATAAAGAAATTACTAAAAGAACAACAAATATACTCAAAAAAGTGGAAAGAGGCAATTCAATTAAGAACCAAAATCAATGAGATAGGAGAGAAATTTGCAATAAAAAAGTAATGCTATTGGTGGCAGTGGGGCACAAGAGGCTGAGGGAGGACAACTGTGGCACAGAAGATCAGCCTGGGCAACAGAGTGAGTCCGTCTCAAAAAGAAAGAAAAAAGTAATTCCAAGAGAAGAATCTAAGACTAACACAAACCCTGCCCCCTAGTACTAGGGATTGAACCCACGTCCTCATGCATGCGACTGGGCTACACCCCCAGCTCCAAACAAAGAAAAAAATTAACAACTAGCAAAATGAAAGGAGTGAAGGGAATAAATTATTATACCAGAAATGAAAAGGGGGTTACCATTACAGATCCTATAGATAGCAAAAATGTATGATGAACCAATAAATTTGAAAATCTGGATAAATGGGACAATTACCTAGAAGAGCCTAAACTCACAAAATAAAACAAGAAACATAAACTTTGAATAGACCTCCATTTATTAAATAAATCAAATCCATAATAAAATACCCACAAAGCAAACTTCAGGTTCAGATGAATTTCACCAGTAAATTCTTCTAACATTTAAGGAAAAAACAATTCCAAATCTCCAACTCTCTGCTTGTGAAAAGAGAGGAAATACTAGTCAACTTCTTTTATAAGACAGTATAATTTTCCATAAAATATAAGAACAAAATAAAAGAACATATAGGCCAACTCAGTTCATACACACAGACACAAAAATCTTCAAAACAATACAAGAAAAATGAATCTCTGCTTCATACCATAAACAACAACAATCTCAAATGGATCATGAACTAAATGTGAATGGTAAAACAAAAAACTTCCAAAATAATCATAAGAGACTACCCTTTTGATCTCAGAGTAGCCAAATGTTTTTGAACAGGACATCAAAATCACTATCCCAAAAGAAAAAG